CCACCCAGGCCGTTAAAAGTCCTGTTCTCAAATTTGGCTATTTAGGCTCTTAAACTGCCATTTTAAGCTTTTAAACATTTTTATCGTGGAGTGTATAGTTAGTTGCTTTTTCTAAAACAGGTTTTTCAAAAGTTTTATGTAATAAATAGCTCTATTCGAATTCTGTGCCTTTTAAGAATTGAGAATGTCTCTGGACTTAAAGGAAGAGAAAGTCCTTATACAGTGTCTTAAAGCAGCGGTCCCCAACCTTCGTGGCTCCAGGGACCGGTGCTCCTATGAGAATCTAAGGCCCGATGACCCGAAGCGGAGCTGAGGCGGTGACGCCGGCGCTGGGCAGCAGCTGCGAACACAGATGAGGCTTCGCGCCCTCGCCCGCCTGCTCTGCTGCTGGGCGGCCCGGTTCCCCGCCTGGGGTTTGGGGGCCCCTGTCTTAGAGAGTCGTCTTGTGGATAAACCCGGTGTTTTTGCCAACTTGTTGCCTAGAAAATAAGGGCTCTTTCCGGTTGATATAAAATAGCAGCGTTGCCATCAAAGATTTTATTGTCCTGGACTAGGAACCAGGGCCAGGCCCCCAAAACAGCGCAGCACGTCCTGCCACGGGAAGTGGATGGACGAGCCTCCCGTTTTCACTGAGCTGCCTTTTCATACAGATCATTCTCGATTTGTACTGGGGGGAGGGGCAGTGTTCGTTTCTAATTTTCTTCCCTCATTTATTTCAAGCTCTTTAGTAATTTTTTTTTCAATTAACAAGTTAAAAAACAATTAGGTACTATTAATATTGTTTTAAAGTAGAAAACGTGCCTATTTTTGTATGATAATCAGATGCAATAAGATGGGTTTTCGCTGGATAGTTGTTAAATCATGATGATCGTGCCAGAATCTGTCGTGTGTAATACGAAAAACAACTCGTACAGCCTTGAGTCCTGGCCACCGCAGAGCCCCTCGGCACCTCTGCCAGCAAGAAGGGTGCTGTGACAGAAGCCCAAGTGCAGGCACACAGCCGTCCCACGGCCGCGGGCAGAGCCTGTGCCTCGCGGGGTCTGTGCACAGCTGGGACTCTCCGGTACTGGACCTAAAGATGGACAGTGTCTTCCTGTCACTTTACGATGGAAGCCAGTTTACAACCAGAAGCACCTGACTCGATCTGAGAGCGTGTAGACTTCCAGGCCTGCTGCTGCCGCAGGGACCGCGGGCGTGGACCTCAGCTCGGAGGAAGCTGCGGCCTTCGTGCCTGAGACCGGTCACGACTCGAGTCCCAGCAGGAAGTGACCTCGGTCAGCAGCAGTGAGTGCTGAGTGCGACGTCCGCGACGTCTGCCGCGGGCGGCGGTGTGGGACCACCCACGTGTCCCCGCCGCCCTCTGCAGTGAGTCACCAGCTCCTTCCACGTCCACTCGGAGCTGGCCGTCGCCAGGGCCGCACGGGGGCTGAAGGACTGCGCCCAAATGCGTCATTCCACTCCGCAAGAGCTGGGAGTGATGCCTCCCAAGGCCCCAGGACTCTTCCCTGGGGACGGGGACCCCATCCTTGACCCCCAGGCCCTCCCTCACGCCTTCCCGGCCCAGCGGCGGTGACCAGCAGCCCCGTTTCGGGCGCACCGTCCCCGTGGAGGGTCGGGGTGGTCACGAGGACAGAAGGGCACACTGCCTCGCCCTGGAGAGACGGCATTCCCGCGGTGACCACGCCCGTCTGAGCACGCGCTGGCAGGTGGCACCGGAAGTTAAGGGATTCAACGAACACTTGGTTTTTAATTTCTAAAGTCAGAGTTTCAGCTGTTTATGCCCTTCTTAGATCATCATAAAACAAGAATTTTAACAGCCAAATGTGTAAAAGCAGCATAGAAAAACAAATTCATGAATCTGTTTCTAATACGCTTATGAGAATTGTGCATGCTACTTTTATAAAAGCTGTGAATCATCTCATCGGGGTTTTTTCCAGCTTTTCTTTGTGTGTCCGATCAAAGCACCTAGATGTCTCCAGTCCCCAGTGGCCACCAAGGTTTTCACCTTTTAAAAAGTTCACTGCCTGCCATGTGGAAACAATGAGTGTCTTTAAGCCAGTACCGAGTTTACTGTCCGCTTTATTAGTGACGATAACAAAGTCCAAACTAAATAAAACGTAATCGATGCTTTGAGAACCTCAGACGCGCGTCTGACGAGAGGTCCCCAGCGCCGGCCTAGGCCACGCTTTTGCTCTTGGCGCCAACCGCAGCCACGTGGCAGACTTCCACGTCCGCCCCCAGCTTCTGCAGCTCGTGCAGCCAGGTCATCTGCTTGTGTGACAGCCGGTCACTGGGGCCCTTCACTTCCACCAGCTGGAAGAGAGGTTTCGGGAACCGCCAGTCAGACAAGCGACGGTAGCGGTCACCGTACCGCTGTGGCACTAGACTCACACACGCAAAGCAGATACACGTGAAACTTAGAGAAGACGTCCCCTCCCGTAGGAACGAGACAGATCTTCACGGAGAGCTGAGCGATGGGAACGCGGCTCCGGAGCGCGCCGCGGGGGATCAGACCCTTCCGTCACCCTGCAGCCCAACCCAGCTCCTTGCCGGCTCCCGGTAGCCACTCCAGCATCCCCATGTCCTGTCGGTGCCTGAGACAGGCCACTTCCTCCCAGCCCCAGGGCCTTCCGCCTGCTGTCTCTCTGGGACTCCACGTCCCTCAGCGGGAAGGCCCAGCACGGCCTTCATGACCGTGAGATGACGTTTCACCGCGGTGGCCGCTGTGAAGCAGGGGCTGTGGGGCGTGCACTGCCTGTTACTGAATTCGAGGTGGTGACGTGAGCAGGCCAAGGGGAGCGTGGGCAAAGGCCAGCGAGCGGAGCAGTCTAGCAGGTTTAGCGTTCCCACGGGATGAGGAAAGAAAAATGGGGAACCATGGCCCCAGATGCCCGAATTTGACGGCGCTATAAACCCAGGGGCCCAAGAAGCCCAGAGAACCCCAGGCACAGAGAACACGCTGAGAGGTGCCATCACAAGCAGGGGTGGCGGGGGCATCTCAAAGGCAGCCAGAACTTGTAAGCCGGAGGGAAAAAGGACACGTTCTCACGGGATACAACGCGACTGAGACGCAGAGTCACGCCGGGGCTCAGTAACCGTCATCGGCAGCGCGGCACTTGGAACGGGCAAGGGCAGGAGCAGATGCGGGCGCGTGTGCGGGGCGTGTGCATGAGCGTGTGTGTGTGCGGGGCGTGTGCGGAGCATGTGTGGGGAGTGTGTGTGTGGAGAGTGTGCGGGGCATGGCAAGCGTGTGGGGGGGTGTGTGGGCACGTGTTCGGGTGCGTGCGCGCAAGTGTGTGTGTGGGGCATGGTGAGCGTGTGTGTGGGGCATGGCAAACACGTGTGCAGGGTGTGTGGGGCATGTGTGGGTATGTGCGGGCATGTGTGCTGGGTGCTTGGGGTGTTGCGGGCACGTGTGCGGGGCGTGTGCAGCGTGTGTGCAGGGTATAGCGAGCGCGTTTGCAGGGTGCGTGTGTGGGGCATGCCGAGGGCGGGTATGGGGTGTGTGCAGTGTGTGTGCGGGGCATGGCAAGCGCATGTGCAAGGTGTGTGTGCAGGGGCGTGTGCAGTGCATGTGCAGGGCATGGCAAGTGTGTGTGCGGGCATGTATGCAGGGTGCATGTGCGGGGAGTGCAGGGTGTGTGCGGGGCATGGCAAGCACGTGTGGAGTGCATGTGTGGGGCATGTGCGGATCGTGGCAAGCACGTATGCAGGGCGTGTGCGGGGCGTGCGCGGGTCACGGCAAGCACGCGTGCGGGGCATGTGCGGCATGTGTGGGGTGCATATGTGGGGCGTGTGCGGGGCGTGCTGAACACCAACGACCAGGCGAGAGGCCCTGGCTGTGGCCCCTGGTGGCGTGGCTAAGCGAGTCGCAAACGGGACTTCCCACTCTGCTCGACTGACCTTGAAGCGGCGGTCCCGGGAGCTCCACACGACCAGGTCCGGGAGGCCCCCCCGGCAGTGGCGGAAGTCTGTGGCCAGACGCCGGCACACGCCGCTGAGGACGCGGCCCCCCAGGCAGGAGACGAGGTCCTGCACACAGAACACGCGGTGACTAGCCAGCCCCCCGTGACAGGCCCTGAGCTGTCCCCCAGGTCCACAGCAGGGAGAGCGGAGTGGCCCCGGCAGAAGGGAGCCCAGGACGCCTGGCACCAGGGCCCCAGTGGCTACAGCACGTCTGCCCGGCCGGGAGAATCCTGGGAGCCGCCGAAGAAGCGGGAATTAGGAAGAAGCCCTCAGGAACGTGACGGCGATGGCTCACAGAGGCCAGCAGCCACAGGGACAGGGACGGCCTCCGCCCCGTGGGGGCCACAGCTCAGGCAAAGGAGAGCTGTCAGCCGAGGGGGAGAAGGCACAGCTGGGGCTTGTCGTGTGCCCTGACGTGTGCCCACCCATAACTGGCATCTGGGCTGGGGTATCAAATGCACATGCACACGAGCAGACAGGCACATACACGCATGCGCACACACAAGCACGCACGTACATGCCTGCACACATACATGCTTGTGCACACGTCCCACACGCATGCAAACGTGCACGTGCATGTGCACATGTGTGGATGTGTGCACACACATACGTGTGTGAGCGCAGGTACACATGTGCACGCAGATGCACATGCACGTACAACTGCCCGTGCGATACATGTGTGCAGTGCGCACACACATGCCCGTATGCAATCCCGTGCGATACATGTGTACAGTGCACACACGTGCAGTGCACACACACGTGCAGTGCGCACACACATGCCCGCACGTGCGCACACACAGACAGGTGTGTCGGGCGCTGTTTTCACCTGCGCCTGCTGCAGAGATGCGAAGCGGTCCCAGCTGACGATGGAAGCCGCTCGGCCGTGCTGGGCCTGCCACGTGGCGGCCACCCAGGCCCGCAGGCTCTCGGCCGGGGCGTGGTGGATCAGCTGCAGCCGGGCCTCGATGGCCGGCCGCCTGCTGGCGAAGAAGCTGTCCGTGCAGAGGTCCAGCGGGAGCGCCTGCGGGCGGGGCGACACCTCAGACTCACCTGGCGGGAACCGACTCACCGACGCCACGCGACGCCCAGGAAATGCGGAAACCGGCCGAGCCCACGGAGCTGGCACAGTCTTTTCCTCAAAAGATACGTCAAAAGCGTCTCAGGAATCTGGGCACGCTGGCTCTTCGGCGTAACCGTGCGGGAGAAGGGCTTTCGGGAGGGTCGGGGGCACCATCGGTGGGCATGGGGACAGCATGGCTGTGAGCGCCCGGCCCCGGGCCTGGCCAGGCCTCAGTGGGCTGCGGCAGGAGCCACACCGACGTCTCGGAGCGCGGGCAGCGAGTCAGCAGCACACGCAGCCCCTAAACGCCACGAATCAGACTCGTGAACAGAAAGACCCTCTCACGGGAACCAGCCCGGTGACCGGAGCCTGCGGCGGCTTCTGGCGGCCGTGGGGCCCGAAGCCCGGCAGCGTCCGCTCACCTCGGCGCGTGCGCCCGGGGCGCGGCCCGGGCTGGGTACCTGGTAGGCGTTCCTGAAGGCGTCGGGCACCCCGTCCATGAAGATGACGTCCCACAGGAGGAGGCCGTACAGCGTGGTGAAGGTGGACCCTTCCCCGTGGATGCCTACGGCAGGGCACGCGACAGAGGGGCTCAGTGCCCGGCAGTCCGCCCCGCCGTGCGAAATAACGCGGATTCAGACGCACACGCCGTCCTCATGCCGTTCCCGGCCCACTCCGTACGTGACATTATACACAGAAGCCTGTTTACGGGCAAAAATCCCACAGCGCCTCGCCACGTGCCCAAGCCTCAGTCTGAGGGGGGCTGAGGGCTCGGCCTGCCTCCGGGGGTCTTGTGCGTTGCGCCCCCTGCCAGGAACGTAGGCGGCCACGGGGACACCCCTGTCCCCACTTCACAGCCTGGGCCACAGGAGGTGCTGGCCAGCAGGACACCCCTGACAGGCTGGGAGGCGTCCGTCCAGCCGGCCTGAGAGCTCCCTGTCTGGTCACACCGCAGCACGGGATGACAGGCCAGGCGGCCACGCGTGTGTCCCATGCGACAGTGCTCTGGGGACATGGCCCATGGGGAGTGGCGCGGCCGCTCTGTCCTGCCCGGCTCGGGCTGTGCTGTGCTCCCTCCTTCCCCGGGTCCCAGCTCCTCGTGCCTCCCTGCAGCCTCCCTCCGTGACCCCAAAGGACGGCAGACGGACAACGGACTCACGCAGGCCCTCGGCTCCCGGCTCCAGCCCCTCTGATGGGTCTGTTACCAGGTGGCACCTGTCAGTCCCCCGTTCTCCCTCGTCCCCAGCCGGACAAGCCGGCCTCACTTGCCTAACGTCCCACCGAGCCGTCCCCTCACATTAAGTGCCAGACACTGGCCGAGTGGTGGGCCTTTCACGACCACAGCGAAATTCTTCCCCAAGCCCTTCCCGGCCAGCGGCACCTCCCATGGGGGACAGGACGGCCGGATGTCAGCTCACGGCCGCCACAGTGATGGGACCGGGAGAAACGCCGCGCGTCGGGTACCTCGGTCGAAGCCACTGCGTCGGTAATGGTCCAGGGCCAGCTCTTCCACGGAGCACAGGGCGGTGGCCGGGGCGGGCCCCCCGGCCTCCATCACAAACACGGACTTGCCCATCCCGTGCTGCGGGCACAGCCGGCCCGAGATGGTCACCTGAGATGGCAGGACGACACCCGTCAGCCTCGCTTCAGCGACAGGCGTGCGAACCCGACTCTGGCGTCCGAGGACACCCTGCCCTGCACGCCCCCAATGCTCAGCACAGCGCCCGGCCTGGGACCGGCACCGGGCTCCGGCGAGGTTCTGGACAGTCACTGCCTCGGCCCCCGGGGCGCATGTGGACCCCAGAGCTGTCCCCAGGTGTCCTGACCACGCGGGAGGAACGGGCGCGGGCTGTGAGCTTCCGACTCGGAGTTTTACAGAAAGCCAGCCGGCCGGCCGGCGGCGACAGCGACGTCCACGGTCCCACGCGAGCGTCAGCATCTTCCGAGTCGCAGAGGGAACCGTTCCGAGGCTGCTCCCAGCGGGCGAGGCCCGAGGGCGCCCAGGACACGGACTCACGTGCTTCACGTCGTCCACGGTCACTTCCGGCAGCTGGCGGAAGAGGTGCCTGACCCTGTGACAGCTCGGGGACTCTCTCAGGCGCACGGCCCTCTGGTACAGCGACAGGCGGTGTCCGGTCCGTACGTCCGGGTCCGCCAGCCCTTCCGCGATGCACCTCACGGCCTAGCAGAGAGCAGGGGCCACGTCAGGGCCCAGGAAGACCCTGGGGGCCCCCCGAGTCCGTGGGGCAGGACACCCCGCCACCAACTCTCCAGACCGCCGGATAGGAATGCGCGGAGCGGCGCTTCCAGGATGACGAGTGGCCCTTGGATGGCACCGATGCAGACGGACCCTGAACCGGAGCAGAACCGTCTGGAACACCGGCGGCCCATCACCTGACGGGTGAGTGCCGCTGCCAGGACCTGCTCGTACCTGCTCGGGGCGCTTCAGGTGCTGGTGGAGGACTCCCCATTCCGTGTGCAGACGAAATCTCCGCTGCCACAGAGACGGGGAAAGTCAGGGACAACCCTGCGTCCTGGGCCGGAGGAGGCCGGAGAGAGAGACCGGGCTCCGCGCAGCACCTGGGGACATTCGAAAGGAGACGAGTCCCCCAGCCCCGGGCACGGAGCGAGCGTCTCCAGTGCAGGGCCAGGCCCGTGACCGCCTCGGGGCTGCCAAGTGGGTCCCACGAGGGCAGGAACCCCAGGGCTGGTCCAGACTCGCCCTGATGGGGAGAAGCTTAGGCCGGAAAGAGAAAATGAATATTCCTAAGAATATTCGGAGGTGGACAGATAAACACACCGAAAGCCACAACGGGACACCGCTTCACACCTCCCCACCCGGGCGACCGCGACCAGGTAGAGGGAAAAGAGGAAGGGTCAGCTGGGGTGCGGGGGGCGCTGGTGACGCAGGGCGGAGGCCAGAGGATTCAACTGTGACCCCGGCCACGTTCAGGGATGGCTGTGGTGACGAGCCCGCAGCCAGGCCCAGAGGGCGCCTTCAGAGCAGAGGGAGGCGTCCGCTGGACTCACGCCCCGTGCCCCACACCTGTGCAGCGGAGCCGGGGACCAGGGGTCAGTCCCTCGGTGGCTAAAACCACGGGGAACCTGAGCTCCGAAGGCCGGGAGCGGGCAGCGGGCCCCTCGCTCTGCAAATTCATCCCTTGCCGCGCCCCACACTCCCCCTTCCTCACGGTCTCGGCCCCCATCGAAGGAAGTGGGGACCCCAGGACGGCAGACGCGGAATTCCCCGGCGCTCGGGGCCCCCTCGGTGCCTCTCTCTGCGGCCACTGTCTTTCCTCCGCCTCCGAGAGGAGGCCCCGCTCCGTCTGTGGGGCGTCACCTTCTTCTACGCGACCCTGCCGTGGACTCCGCTTTGGCGTGTGTGCCGAATGCCTTCCACTCGCTCCACGGGGCGCGGGCCCCGTCCCCGGGGGCAGCTGGCCCTGCCCTGCATCGGTGGCGGGAGGTAAAGTGACTCCAGTGCTGTGGAAGCAGGGGGGCAGGTCCCCAGGAGCTGAGCAAGGATCTCATCGGGCTGCAGCCCGCCCCGGGCGTGACCCCCAGGCTACACCTAAGGGGCCTAAAGGCGAGCTGATTTACGCCGTGTGTATTTTACTGCTATGGAGAAATAATAAATTTAAAAAACCCCTAAAAACCTGGAAATCGGTGACGGAGGAGGCCGCTGGGGGCGTGGCAGAGGAGGGGACAGCGTGGGACACAGGCTGGGGGACGCGGCCGCTGCTATCCCTGGAGAGGTGGGAGCCGCCCAAGCCGAGGTAACAAAGGAATGGCAGTTACGAGCGTGGCCGGCAAGATCTTGGGACGAGGCCGAAAGGAAGCACGATTTTCCATCAAGCTCTAAACGACGCTCGGAGGCCCATCCTCTTCTAGGAGCCGGCGCTGCTGCCAGCAGACCTGGGGCGACGGGGGCGGTCAGGTCCCGGGACCTGTCACTCCGGTGCAAGGACGAAGCAACCTGCCCGGGCCTCCTCCACCCTCCGTCCGGGCCGCAGCCGCTTTTTCTTGCTATTTGGGCTGAAAAAGCCGGAGGGGCCGGGAAGCGCCCCCCCCCGCACCCCGC